AGGGAAACTGTGGAGTTTGTTAAAAGCCTTGTACTACTGTGGGAATTTCTCCAGAAATCTAAAACTGTCCTAGTTTATTTTTTAAAAGTTTATTTTAAAAGATTACATAGCAAGGCAGAAAAAACATAACAGAAGGCTTAGAGAGATATGGTTTTATATTTATGAAAAGTATTTGTCTTTCACCATATCTGGTAAAGCATTTTACAGTCTCCTAAGGGTTTAACTGTTAGTCAAAGAAATAAATCTTAGTTCAAACTATTTCCCTGAATATTAAAAAACAAAACAAGGCCAAGCACAGTGGCTTACCCCTGTAATCTCAGCACTTTGGGAGGCCAAGGTGGGTGGATCACGAGGTCAGGAGTTCAAGACCAGCCTGGGCAACATAGTGAAACCCCGTCTCTACTAAAAATACAAAAATTAGCTGGTGTGGTGGCAGGCGCCTGTAATCCCAGCTACTGGGGAGGCTGAAGCATGAGCATCACTTGAACCCAGGAGGCGGATGTTGCAGTAAGCCAAGACCATGCCACTGCACTCCAGCTGGAGAGCAAGACTCCAGCTCAACAACAACAAAAAAAAAAAAAAAAAAAGAGAAAAAGTTGGCTAATTTTATTTGAGGAGAAAAGATAGGGCTATTATAGACTTATTTAACTAGCCTTATTTTTGATTAAATTGAATGCTTGGTTAAATCTGAACAACGTTAACATCTTCCAATTGATATTAGAATCAAATCCAAGGTCCTACATAGGGTCATACATCATCTGGCTCCTGCCTGCCTTCTTTGACTTCATTTTATTCTACCATTGCCCCTGTTTTCATTCACTTGGGCCACACCAGTCTTTCTGTTCTAAGAACCTAGTAAGCCTTAGAGCGTTCATATTTTGTCCTTGTCTGGCACCTGTTACCTACTGCTGGGTAGCAAACTACCCCCAATACTTAATGGCTTCATACAACTTCCATTTTATTCACTCATGATTCTGAAAGTCATCAATCTGGACTGATCCAATCAGAGGGCTCATCATTGCAGCTTTAGTCAGCTGGCAGCTAGGCTGGGGATAGGTGACTAGTGGTCACATGTCTGGCTGTTGGGTGAGCCATGTATTTCTAATGAGCATACTAGGGCTTTTTCACATGGATGCAAGCAGAGGTCCAAGTGTAAGGATAGAAGCATTCACTTGATCAAAGCAAGTTACAAGGCCAGTCCATACACAAGTGGTGGGAAGCAGACTCCAGCCTTGATGGGAGGAGGAGTATGCAGCCATTCAAAATCGGATACATGTAGAATGCTTCTTCTGAAAGCTTTCCATAGCTGTGCCTCAGTCATGCTCTCTTCAAAGTATAGTATCTTCAGAGGACTTTCCTAACCACTGTATTTAAAATAGCTCCTCACCGGGCTGTCTTCATCCTTCACCTTTTCATGATCCTCTTTTATTTTCTACCATTACACTTATTGTTCCATGGTTCCCTTGCCTGTTTTCTCTATGGGAGCAATGAATTAACACAGCAAATTAAGTGCCTGCCTTGTTCATTCCCAAGTGCTAACACAGTAGGTACTCAACAAACATACAGGCAATTCACATCTTTATTTTTTATTCCACATTAAGAAAGATGATCAAGTTATTAAACAACTGAAAAAGTAGTGCACTTCAGGTAGTAAAATGCACTTTAGTAAAACCAATCTAAGTGGACATAAGATTTCTGTCTCTTCTGTCCAGACAAAAAAATGAAGAACCTATGTGTTAAGTATAAAGGAGAACCCTGGTGTGGTGGTGTATGCCTGCAGCCCCAGCTACAAGAGGCCAAAGCAGGAGCACTGCTTGAGCCAAGGAGTTCAAGGCTGCAGTGAGCTATGATTACGCCACTGGACTCCAGCTCTGGGCGACAGAGCAAGCCCTCATCTCTAAAACAAAACAAAAGATCAAGTAGAAAGTTACCTGAGTCTTTTCCAAGTTATTTAATTTGGAGCATCAGTCTCCAAATATAATAACATTAAGACAACAGTTTAGAAATTAACTTTTTTTCAGATCACTCCAACACAAAATCTCTCAACTGAATCTCTAGTTTGTCTCATTTTGTTAAGAGCTTATTACATGAGAAGGTTCAGAGACTTTTATTTCCATCCCTCAGCAAGCAGTGACAGTCAACATAACAGGCTCTGTAGCACCATGACATCCCAACACCAGACCACTCCAGCCACCCTCTCAGAGAAAAACTGCAAGATATGGCTGGACTACTCGAATCACATCTGATTAAACAATCCAGGTAAAGAAAGTTATACTATAAAGAATACTTTCCAAAATTGTTTACTCAAATAAAAACAGATCAAGTCATTACAGAGCATTTTTCCATTTTATTAAGAATAACAGACTTACTCAAGGTAATTTTACTTTGTTTATTTAAATAAGGATATGGCTACTTAAAAGACTTTTTACATACAAAAATGTACAAGGTTAAACTTTTGTGTACTTAATTACAAAACCTGCACAAGCGTTTAATAAAAGAGCACACTTAAAAACATTTTGACCATTATTTAGCCTCTAAAAATTACTGAAGTTCAACAGTAGTAAATAGAGGAAGCTCTTACTATAATATATACACATACCATGATTTAGTCTACTGGCAGTTTTACTTAATGTAAGTTTTTAAAAGGTCACATTGCTATTGAATGAGTCTCTATAGATCAGTTTTAGAATCATCTCTCAAAACTTAAGTCAACCAAAATATTATTTCAAATAATAATTCCAATTCTGAAGAATTTTAATACTAACAAATATATTATGGCCTCATAGTAGTAACTGAACCAAATTTCCAAAGTGCCTGGTAGCTGTCCAGATGAATTAGGTTACTTTGGAAAACTGTACTGTCTTTACAGCCATTGAGAAGCCATTCAGTGCCCTGGTGCTGTAGGGTCTTGAGACTTTCCAGAATCCACACAGCAGTCTATGATCCCTCAAATGTAAGAGGACAGGGGTCAGCCTATCTTCACCCCTCAGTGAATGAGGAGGGCCAAGCAGTATGACTTGCAAACCTAAGCCAGAAGCTTGGGATCTACAGTAAAAAGGAAGAATTAAAGTAGAGAAAGAAAATGTGTAAGGAGAAAGGGAAAATAACGAACAAAGAGGGAAAGGAAGAAGAAACAAGGATACCTGCTAATGGCAGGAAGTGATAAAGTGCCCATAAGTACAACTTACAAGCCTCCCACTAACTCTAATGTCATTAGCCTACTCCAGTAATAAGAAAACCTGGCTTTAGTGGACTACAGAATCAAGAGCAACATTACCTACTTCATGTTATTGAGGAACTAGTATTCTAAAGTTGTCTGCCATTCAAATCAAGTTCTTCTAACCTTTTAAGCAAACCAAAACACTTCAAAATATAGGGCTCCCAAGGCTGCTGCTCCAGATTCCCAGCATTCAGCCTGCTTCATTACGTGGAGAAGGGCATTTCAAGACAAGCTGTATCCATACACCTTCAGAAGGAACAAAGCTCTAAGAAGGTGGGATTATGTTAATACATAGTACATGGTTTAGCAGTTTCTCCACATTTCAAACTCAAAATAGCTCACTAACATGCTACTACCATGAGCATTGATTCTGAATGTTCATAATATAAACTTCAATTTGAAGCAACAATGTTACACAGTTCAGCTGTTATTACCAACCTACTCTGTAAGTTAAACAAATAAAATATTAATTTTATTGACTAACTAAAAATAAGTTCCCACTGACTTAAAATCGTCAAATGGCTAACTCTCTCAACTAAGAGAGAAACACAGATGGAAACGGAAAGGACAAGTGAATATAAAATAAAATTTGTCAATCTACTCTAAAATCTGCACTTTTAAAATCTTCCTTTGCATATATTTATGTATAGGATCACAGTTGCCCACCAACATTATTACGTCTATCAGCCCTGCAGATAAAAATTTACTGTTAATAATTTATGCAATACTTAGTGTGTTTTGTCTTATGTGTACAGATTTACAGTCTGGAATAAAGGCAGAATGATTAAAAACTACTGGGTTAAAGTCTTAGTATGGTACTTACCTGCAAGGCTGAATTAATTGTTTGGAAGGCTATTCAATAGCTGAACTAACATGTTTGTTTTAAGAAATCAAAAGAGGAACAAGACTCCTTTAAAACATATTGAAAAAGGTGTGAAGATCAATCATATAAAGAATTATGAAGTATCCTTTGCTCTTACGTAGAAACACATAGCAGAACAGTAGAAACTAGAACTCATGAACATAAGGTAAACCCTATCTTCCCATTGATTTCCATTATACAATTGGAGTGAAAACACTACTTGAACAAAAATAAACAAAAAACCTTAGCAGATAATTCTGTGTGGAACAGCCCTGTGAGAAGTGTCTATATTACAGCTGCAGGGAACCTCACCTAAGCTGGGAGTCCATCTTCCTATGCTGCACTCTGTAGTGACTTTTGACTCCAGCAGCTCCTCTACTGCCTACTCCATATTATGCTAATTTTTGCCCCTGACTGCTATGCTTCCTGGACTCTCATAAGTTCTAGAATTCTATGACCACTCCCAATTCTCTAAACTTCCTGCCATCAAATACCATCTCTAACATGATTACTCAGCTTGAAGATATTTTAAATCAACTTCATTGTGAAAAGATTAAGCTCCCAGGAGCGGTAATAGCTGAACTCACGGAGTGAGATCACAGACTGCTCATGAAAAGAATAGGTAGAACTGCTGCATGACAAAAACATTCTAAAGGATGGTCCAGGTGCAGAACCAACCTGTCAACTCGTAATATATACATCCATTGTCATGACTTCAAAGAAAGAAGCAATAGCAAGCACTGATTCCCTTTTGCTTTTTATGGGAAGAAGCAATGTAAGCACTTAAAGAATAGCATTTTTATCTGTATATTCTGAATAGTTTTCCAGCAGTACTACAAAGATGCTTTTCTTGGTGAACCTTTTAGGATGAATGTTGTAATATTTACTAAAATACTGTGACAAACTGTTTTATGTTTCAAAGAAATAAAAATGGCAAACTAGCAAAATACTTGAGTTTTAAAAAAAAAATCTCAAATTTCCCCCAAGACTCTGAACAAGGCTAATGAGAATAACTCCTAAAATTCACTGGATGCTTTTCTTTTTGAAGACAGAGTTTCACTCTTGTTGCTCAGGCTGGAGTGCAATGGCATGGTCTTGGCTCACTACAACCTCCGCCTCCTGGGTTCAAGCGATTCTCCTCCCTCAGCCTCCTGAGTAGCTGGGATTACAGGCATGCGCCACCGAACCCGACTAATTTTGTGTTTTTTAGTGGAGATGGCGTTTCTCCAGGTTGGTCAGGCTGGTCTGGAACTCCAGACTTCAGGTGATCTCCCCGCCTCGGCCTCCCAAAGTGCTGGGATTATAGGTGTGAGCCACCGTGCCCAGCCAATTCACTGGATGCTTTATAGTAGGCTTGTAGCTAATGATTTGACCAGGGTCAATATAAATGACATAAACTAAGCCATTGGTTTAAAAGATATTCTTTCTAATCAGGGCAAGACAGGCAAGAATTTTAAAAAAGAAAGGGAGGGAGGGAGGGAAGAAGGAAAGGAAAATAAATCCTTCATTTTTTTAAACCTATTTGAAACCTCTTAAGAAAATTCCACAATAAACAGGATTTCTGTAAATACTGTCAATATATATGAACATATTTGAAAAACTACAGTTACAGCATATTTACATTTTCGGAAACTTTCCTTCAGGGCCAAGTAACATGTTGTATTTTCCTTTTTGCTTGTGGGGGCTTCAGGTTATTCTGAAAGAAATGAACAGAAATCATTTATACTTGCAGAAATATCAGAAAACAATTTCCTAGTATTTTATTTCAATGTATTTAAAATGAACATTTTAAACAACCAAGGTTTACTATTAATGTATTAATGAAAGATCACTGCTGCCATCTGGTGGGAATATTTTTCTTTTTTTTTTTTTTGAGATGCAGTTTCGCTCGTTACCCAGGCTGGAGTACAATAGCGTGATCTCAGCTCACCACAACCTCCGCCTCCTGGGTTCAAACATTTCTTCTGCCTCAGCCTCCCAAGTAGCTGGGACTACAGGCGCATGCCACCATGCCCAGCTAATTTTTGTATTTTTAACAGAGACAGGGTTTCACCAAGTTGACCAGGATGGTCTCAGTCTCTTGACCTCGTGATGCATCCGCCTCGGCCTCCCAAAGTGCTGGGATCATAGGCGTGAGTCACCGCACCCGGCCTGTGGGAATTTATTCCAAGAGACAGGGGACTGAGTTTTCTAGCTCTGTGGTTCTGAAACGTTTGTAATAACAGAGCACTTAAAAACATGCCCCCCCACCCCCGCCCAAGACCGGTCTTATCCCAGAACCAATTAAACCAGCATCCATAAAAGGTAGAGGGATTGACTTCTTTTTGCTTTGGCTTTTTTGGGAAGCTCCTCAAGTGATCTTAACAGGGTTGAAAACCATTTGACTGCTCCGGATCTGCTTCCTCCCTGTCCGGCCCATCTCTTCCATCAACTTCACAATCCAAAGTCAATGAGAAATAGGCTGGGCAGGTGGCTTACACCTGTAATCTCAGCACTTTGGGAGGCCGAGGTGGGTGGATCATTTGAGGTCAGGAATTCAAGACCGGCCTGGCCAACAGGTTTGGTGAAACCCTGTCTCTACCAAAAATTTTAAAAAAAATTAGCTGGATGTTGTGGCAGGTGCCTGTAATCCTAGCTACTTGGGAGGCTTAGGCAGGAGGATGGTTTGTACCTGGGAGGTGGAGGTTGCAGTGAGCCAAAACTGCGCCACTGTACTCCAGCCTGGGAAATGGAATGAGACTCCGTCTCAAACAATAAACAAACAACAACAAAAACACAAAGTCAATGGGAAATGTTAATAAGAAGAAAATACTTATTTATATGTATGCACACATATAAAAGAATCTTTTATCCTTATTGTTTTATATATAGCGATATATATTTCCCTCTAAGATACATAAATAAAGATACATATATATGTAAAGATACATATACATACACATATACATATCTATATATCTCATATCTATGAAAGAGTAAAATTTTCTGAGGTAGAGAAATTCTGTTTAAGAGCCTGGGAAAAAAAATTCTTTGAGGCTTACTCCTTATGGCAGTATTTGAGATGTGGCTTTATTCTTCCAACTCCCATCCCATACCCTCCCTCCTCTCTCCCACAAAGGTAGCTGAAAGGAGTACGGAGGCAACATGGCCTCCTGTGTGCCCTGGGATTAAACAAACCTAAACTCAAATTGCAGTCTGGTTGCTTACAAACTCTGGAACTCCCAACAAACTTCTTTAAATTTACTAAGCTTCTGTTTCCTCATGAAATAGGAATATCAAAGACGCCTACTTCAAAGGGTTACTGAAAGCATACAATGAACTAATATAAGTAAAGAACTCATGACCAGTCAGGTGGTTTTCTTTTTCCAGGGTCTAGTATTTTAGAATGTTTGAATTTACTAAATTTTGATCCCTTTGATACATGATTATATGTGTGTGTGTATGTGTGTATATGTATATATATATAATCATCTCACAAATTAAACTCTAATACATGTTAACTGCACCAAATTTGCTAAGAAGCATCCAAATGATTCAACATAGTAAAGCACAACATAATAGATTTCTCCAACTTCTGCTATCCTCACAAAGCTAGGTAAACTGAGCAGTAGGTGAGGCAAGTGGCAAATCTTAAAAAGATTCTAGTGCAGTTTTTTTTTTCTTTGAGACAGAGTCTTGCTCTGTCATCCAGGCTGGAGTACAATGGTGCTGTCTTGGCTCACTGCAACCTCCACCTCCTGGGTTCAAGTGATTTTCTTGCCTCAGCCTCCTGAGTAGCTGGGATTACAGGCACCTGCCACCACACCTGGCTAATTTTTGTATTTTTAGTAGAGACAGGTTTCACCATGCTGGCCAGGTTGTTCTCAAACTCCTGAGCTCGTGATCTGCCCATCTTGGCCTCCTAAAGTGCTGGAATTACCGGCATGAGCCACTGTGCCCAGCCTGGTGTGGTTTTAAGGTATGAACAAACAGACAGACTTAAGGTCAGCCCCCAAATGCTACTTAATAAATGTGTGACCCTGGACAAATTACTTAATGTTCTAAACATTGCTAATAAAGGAATATTTGTCTATTTTCATTCCAAGACAGTTAAAGGAACTTAATGAGAAAAATCTAGGAAAACTGCCTAATGTAGAGAGATCCTCTCTCTATGTATTTTAAGCAGAAATAACTTGAGTGAACTTTTAAAAACATTAATCAGCATGGATTTTAAAATTCCAGGATTCAAATACTTGAGTAATGAGATGTATTATACAAATGGGACAGGCCATCAAAAGGGTTTAAAAAAAGAATGTAGCACCGTCGACCCACCTCCCATTATGAGCCAGACTGCTCAGGTTTCATTCAGACCACTTACCAGCATGGAAATGACCCCCATACTTACGATGGCCTCTGCTTCTTCTTTAGGAGCAGCTCGCTTTAACTTCACTGGAGTAGTTCCAACAGGGGACAATGGTGGCGACTTCACAGAGCCTGAAGGACTTTTCCTATGCGTTAAGTCATGGTTCTGTTTAGTGTCATTATTATTGTGTTCCGTTTTATTGTTCATAGGCAAATTGGAAGACAAAATTAGGGGTGAAACACTCGAAGAGGAATTTGATAATTTTCTAAAGGCATTATTGGTAAAGCTTGCCTGAGGGGGAGGCTTGAGTTGATCATTATCTCCATTCTCTGTCTTTTTCACTTTTATGCTTGTACTTGTTGAACTTCCATCAAATACAATGAGGGGTCTTTTCCTTAACCCGTCTACAGCGCTACTCCTGAAATCAAAAAGATATGCTCTTGAAAAATACCATCTGGAATGGCAAACCAGTTCACTGGAATTCAAGTTCAAATAAACAATAACCAAGAAGATTTATTGATAAGACTAATCTTTTCTAAGTGGGACTATTAGAAATTAAACTTTCTATGTTCACTCTAAATGAGAGAATTCCCTAGTGTTTTATTTCAAAGTTTAAAATATTTATGTACAAGAAATTCAAAGTTAGCTTTAATGTATACACAAGATACAGCTGTTTTTAAAACATCAATTAACTATCTAGCCCTGGAACTTAAAATGAGATTTCCTGGTTAAAAAACAAACACCAGCTTACTGATAGGGTTATCTTAAGCATGTAATCAGTTATTATTTAAAAAGGATAAAAAACTATAAAACTATACCAAGACTACCACAGTGGTAATCTACAAATGAGGCGCAGCATTCTATTCCATTCACTAAAGGTCTCTAAAGCCAAGACATTTTCTAAACTAATTGTAACTATGATATTTGTACAAGTTTAATTGTAAAATTTGGCAAGTATCTTCATATTTACCTTCTGGAAATCTAATTTCCACTCAATTATTAAGGTTAATAATGAAAGCATTCGTTTGCTTATTACTCATCATACCTCAAGCTATATAACAGATTAACTAAAAACAAACAAAACAAACCCTCTTTTTTTTTTTTTTTTGAGACAGAGCTGCATTCTTGTAGCCCAGGCTGGTGTGTGGTGTGCAATGGCACAATCTTGGCTCACTGTAACCTCCACCTCCTGGGTTTAAGCAATTCTCCTGCCACAACCTCCTGAGTAGCTGGGATTATAGGTACACGCCACAAGGCAGGCAAATTTTTGTATTGTTAGTAGAGACAGGGTTTCACCATGCTTGCCAGGCTGGTCTTGAACTCCTGACCTCAGGTTATCCACCTGCCTCAGCCTCCCAACATGCTGGGATTATAGGCAAGAGCCACTGTGCCCGCATTAACAACAACAAAAAAAACCTTTTAATTAAACATGTTAAAAAAACTTGAGGTAGCCAGTTATTAGGAAGAACAATTCAGCTCTGCTACTCAAAGTGTGATCTAGGGACCAGCAACACAACATCATCATCATCTTGGGACTTTGTAAGAAATGGAGAATCTGGGGCATCAACCTGAACTAAGCATCAGAACCCATATTTTAACCAGATTCCTATGCAGCTGGCCAAACTCAAAAATTTTTGGGTCATCAATGAACATAATTTGGTAGAAAATGAAAAGTAAGGTCATTGTATACCCACTGCCTTTGTAGAAAGGAAACAGAGGGACTGAGAGCAGGGCTTGACGGCTTGTTTCATCTAAGATTCAAGAGGCACATTAAAGTGTGAGAAGCACCAGGCTATGTTGCTATGGACCTAGTCCTAGCTCTATGTGACCCTGGGCATGTTATAGCACTTCTCAGGATCTCGGTTCCTCCACAGATAAAATAATAAGCAGTTTAACAATACAAAATGATCTCTTGGATCCTTCCAGTTTTAATGCTCTGAATCAATCGTGAATTTAAAAAATAGAGTCAAAAAGCCTTTCTGAAATGATTCTGAGGGACTAATCAAGACAGTTGTAAGATGATTGCTTCAAAGAAAAGAAAAACCAGCACAGAAAGTTTTGCTTATAAGAACAATATGCCTGAATGTGCTGATCGAGGAAAATATTGGCTGAGTAAGAGCAAAAGTAAATTAAAAGGCATATGCAGTGTAAACCATATTTATGAAAGTTAACACTAATACATAGTCTGTACTAGTAAGTAAAAGTAACCATCAAGCTAAAATGATGGTCAATCTGAAATGTGCCCTTGATCAAAGGTCAGATTTTATTTTCCAAAAGACAAGGAGCAGACATGTACTCTTTGGCTATCCTTCATACTTGAAGAATAATCTCAATCACAAGTTTTCTTTGTAAAACAGGGATTAAAACTCAGAGGAACATACTTCCCCTTACCCTCACCCTCCTACTGTATCTTCTCCTACTCTCTAGTGTACTGCCTATGACAGCGCCTTACAAACAGAAGGCCCCTTCCCCTCCCCACACACCTTAAAAAAATTAATTGATCAACAGTATCCACTTAGATATAATAAACATCAGAAGAAATAACTAGTTCACTTAAGGATCTTAGGACATTCTGCACTTATTAACCAATCAACAACAGTGGTTAATCAAATGTAACTTTCTTTAAAAAAGAAAATTCACTTGCCTGTGGTTTTATCAAAAAATTTTTGAAATAAAAAATTTTAAATAGCAGAACTCAAGCTAGTTAACAGGCCCTTCGTTTGTGTATTATTCAAAGACATTAGAGTTTTTTACCTGACTTTTTTCTCAAAATTCAGGAAATCCTACTGGCTCTACCTACAAAAAGCACGTAGACCCCAGCCTACCAAATTTACTATAGTCAAAGCTGCTGCCATCTATTGCCTGGATTACAGTACAGCCTTCTAATTTGTTTCCTTGCTTCCACATTTATACATGCCCCTTCCCCTCCCCAGATACCTTAAATCACTTCTTAGAAGAGCAGCCAGAGTCATCTTGTCAAAATGTACATCTAATGATGTCACCACTCTGCTCAAAATCCTCTAGTGGCTTCTTATCTCAGAGTAAACCAAAGTCCTTACAATGACTTATAAAGGTTTCCATGATCTGACAATCTCTTCTGTTCACCCCCATACAACTCGTTCCTCCTGCAGCCCTGATGGCCGCTTTGTTATTCCTGGTATATGATGGGCACATTCCTGATCCAGCCTCTTGTATTCTGGCCCAGAGTGCTAGCTTGTTCTCTTATTTCCTACAGGTCTCTTTACTAAATTGTCATTTCTCACTATGATTGTTCCTGGACAATTTATCAAAAATTGTAACCTTTCTCCCTGACCTTTACTACTTATGGAACAATACTGTTATATAGTAACTCTGCTATTATGTTTCTCCCAAACATGAGTAGGAAATTTTGTCAGTTTTATTTACTGCTATATACATAGTGGCTGGTGCTCAATAGAGTGAGTCCGAAATTTTTTTTACTTAAGTTTACCTCAGGAAAAATCAGTAACTGTTTAGTTATAAGATGAACTGAATGCTAGAACCACCAAAAAGTACCTTTTAGTCTCATTTTTAATCTCATGGTGTTCTCTTTTCTTTTCCATCATTTTCCCCCATCTATTCTTCGGCAAATCCCTCTGAGGCAATGGTATTGCGTGCTGGACATAAAGGTCGGTAAGACTGTCTTTGTTTATTTTTGCATCAGTTTCAACAGCTATGTTCTTCTGTGGGGGGGAAAAAGTAATTTCAAAACAACATTCTTAATTTTAATAACTAACCATCTTACCTAACATGGTAAAACATTACTGCTTAAATCACAAATTAATTAAAAAACCATTTTCACAATAACATGAATACTTAAAGACAGCGTTATAGGCTACATTCTGTAAATATTAGGTTCAGCCCCATCTTAAAGACAATGGTCACATTTTCTCAGTGTGACAAGGATTGCTATCCACAACTGCTCAGCCAACATACCAAGCATGAAAGATCATTTTCCAGTATTATTACCTTAATATACAAGGGGATTGAAAATAGGGGACTGCCTGGGAAAAACAGACAAAAGAAAGTGAACAATGACTAGCAATCACCGCATTCTGTCAAGAAGCTACCTTGAGTGTTGCTATCATGATCAGATTAGTGGGATACAGGTCTCAGTCTTGTCTTATATTTCTCGTGCTTCTTTAATGTAGTACTTCCTAAACTGAAGTTAACTATAAAGATTTCAAACAACACCACAGATAGAAACTGTTATCCCCGTAGTGACGACAGTAACAGTACATCATTAGAAAAGCCTGCACCCCATTTTCACTGCTTCTTTCAAGTAAGCTTCCAGTCACTGTCCAACCACCTCTAACTAAATCACCTCATTCTTCCTTATTTTCCAATTTGTTCTGGACATCACGAAAAACATATAGCATAAACACAGGAGTGTCATGAAGACAGAGTTTGGATTTAAGATGAAAAGTGAAAATGGTAATGAGATCACAGGCTCTTCAATTTCAACTCAGAAAGGCTTGAAAACATTTGTGTTTTGGCAACTGACAAACCTATATCCTCTAACAAAATCTAATAAAAGCACATTTTACTTCTCTTTCATATATTGGACTAATTTATTTTCACCCTGTCCTCACTCAAAGGTAGGGGAAACTCCCAGGATTCCCTTGGACAACATTGCCAGAGAATTCATAGGCCCGTTCCTTTGGGAAATATTGTCTTAGCAAAATTTCAGGGCACATTCCGTAACTACTGAACGAGAAACTGGGGACAGAGCCCAACAATCTGTGTTTTAGCAAGCCCTCGACTGGTTCTTAAGTACATGAAAAGTTTGAGAACCACAGGTAAAAACGTACTGACATAATTAAAATAAGCTCTACTTGGCAAGAGGACTTGAAATTCAAGAAAGATAGGGTATCAAGGGGAAAACCATATGGAAAACAACAAAATATGCTACATAAACCCCAATGAAACTTTCAGTAATTCTCTATCACTTAAAACATCACGTTTTTCCTTTCTCATTTTTCGCCTACTGTCAGAAGCCACACAGGCTGGAAAAGAACACGCGCTACATGAAGAGCCAGAAGCCCTGAATTCTCCTCCTGGCAGTACCATTTACAGATGTCGTGACCTTAAACAAGTCACTTCATCTCTCTGAACTGTTTTATCATCTTTAAACGGTGAGAGAGGGTGTGGAAAGGACAGTTTCTCAGACGCTTTCCAGCCCTGACAGTCGATGATTTCTACCTCCCTTGCCTATTCTACGCTTCTTCCCCACTTCCTTTCTTCCTCAGGTTGGTGCTTACACACAGGCAGAGGGGGTGGCCTGGGACTCCTCTTTCTGAGCCATCAGGATGGATAAATAAGCCCTATTTCCCAAGCATTCCTGATATTCTACGGGCGTCTATTTTTTCGGACGGGGGCGAGGTGCGGGAGCGAGGGGACAGCTGGCTGTTCTGTGGAGAGTGGCACAAACCCGGCGGGAGTGTCCGCAGTTACCCAAAGCTACTTAAGGAGAGCTCAGATGCAAGCGCCTCATCAGGGAAGGCCCACCCGTCCGCCCGCCCTCCACTCCGGCGCGCCCAACCTGCTCCAGAGTAAGGAGAAGGAACTCCTGGGACAGCAGCTCGGGGTGCAGCAGCAGTTCCGAGTCCGTGCAGCTGCGACCGCCCACATCCCCCGCCATCGTCGTCGCCAGGAGACCCCGGTCGGCTACCCACAAAGCCCCGCGAAGAAAGCGTTCCGGAAATGACGTACTCTGGCGGAGACTCGAGTGTGTCGTCACTCGAGTGCGCCGCACGTCGGGCTCTTTCTCTCGGTGCTGGATCAGGCGTTGGGGTCTGGCCTTGCTTGCAAAAATCTCCCAGGGACCAGAGAAGAGAGGGGGATGTCAGACGTAGAAACAAATGGCGTGTCAAGTTTGCAGGAAGAGAGAGAAGAGTGAAGTTCCGGGAGCCGACCGCGATTGGTCGCGCATTCTATGACGTCCAACGGCAGAGGCCAAAGGGATTCCTGGGGCAGCCTCGAGGGAAAGAATTCTGGCGCGCAGGGCTGGTATACATTACTCTAAATATGGCAGTGGTTGTGTCCGAACTTACCGTCTTTTTCTTTGTTTAACCTGTTTCTCGTCTCTTCAGCGCCCTCTGTACAATGTAAGACCAGAGGCTTTATTTAGTGAATTCCCTGTAACCCCGGCGCCTTGGACAAATAGGTATTCAAGTGTTTGTTTCCTGAAAAAATACTCTGAATTAATCTACTCACATGTAAAAAATAATAACCGTCTGAGAAACGCCAGTAATAACAGCCAAACGTTTGTTACATTTACAGTGTGCCAGAAACTGCATTTTACGTGTATTATTATCACATTCCTCAGAACAGCCTAATGACATATATATATTACTATAATGCCTATTTTTCAGATGAGGAAACTGAGGCATAGAAAGGATAATTTACTCAAGAGTGAGGAAGTAGCAAGCGTAAAATCCAAATCTTCTGCATGTAGTAATAGCTACAGTGAAGTAACTTTAAATCGCTGTAGGTATCAATTATAGTGTAATTCCCAGGAATTAATTTATTAAGAAATATTCTCTTCTCTTTCACCATTCATGGAGAGATATATACCCCTAAATATTTTGCACATTTAAAACTTAAACTTGCTGGGCGTGGTGGCTTATGCCTGTAATCCCAGCGTTTTGGGAGGCTGAGATGGAAGGATTGCTTGAGGCCAGGAGTTCCAGGCCAGCCTGGGCAACATAGTAAGACCCCGTAGCTACAAAAAAATTGTTGAAAAATTAACCAGGCACGGTGGTGCCTCTGTAGTACTAGCTACTCAGGAGGTTGAGGTAGTAGGATCACTGGTGCCCAGCAATTCCACCCTGCAGGGAGGTAGGATCACCACACTGCACTTCAGCCTGGGCGACAGAGTGGGACCATGTCCGAAAAAATAAATAAATAATAAAACTTGCAGATAGGTTCTGAATGTTTATTGTATGCATCCTCTATGATGTATCATTTTATTGGAGATTATTGCATTGTCTACAAAAATAAGAACTCTGAGGATGCCAAAAGATAAACCTTGAAAGAGGACTAGAAGTGAGATCCTCAAAAAACAAAAAGCTGAGAAGTGTTTTGCAATTTTTCTTAACCATTTATGTATGGTTATGTATTTTATGTCTAGAAAGTGAATTTCAGATCTGAGAGGAAACTTAAAAGTTTCTCAGTCTAGTTCTTTCATGTTAGTGCCAAGAAAACTGATCAGAAAGAGATTACATGACTTGCCCAAAATTGAACAGTCCTAAATCTGGGCCTAGGCAGGCATCTGAGTGTCTTAAATTGGAGTTAAATGTATTAGCATCATGGTATTAACATCATGATATTCCATATCTCAAATCCGATTTTACTTTCATTACAGTAGTGAAATAAGTGTGATTAGTTATTATCCCCATTTCCTTCCCTGGGAGGCACATTGTTTTAGTATCAAAAACAGCTAGCTTGTAAGAATCCTGGGCTAGAAACCTGACCTCATTTCAAGTTTTACTCTGTTGCACTGAGACCTTGGGTGAGTTACTCAGTTTCTCAGCCTCAGTCCCCTCATCAGGAAAATGTGGTGTTAACACTTTCTGTGAAGAATGATCAAAGGAGTGGAGATTATAGAGATTATAAACACACTTGGCACAGAGTAAGTTTAAGAACTGGCAGCTGGTTTTTATAAAGTTAACGGTCATAGAAGAGAGGAAAGGGCAGGCTTGGAGTGACTCAGAGTTGGATTATAACCTTGGCTTCTTTAATCACCTAGGACATATACTCTCCAACTGTAGCTTCCTTCCCTCTGAGATGGAAATTATAAGCCATCTTGCAGTGTTTTGAGGATTGGAGTTAGTGTATAAAATGCCTCTTCTGTTGGCTCTCCTTGGAGATTTGTCGTATCCTATTGATTGTCATCAAAGGAAAGAAGTGGCAGGATGATGGCATAAGAGGGAAGAACCTTGAGTTTAATAGTCTGAAAAAGTGGTTACAGGTTATTGCTGTGCTTTTTTCTCTCTGTGGGTTTCTGAACCCATCACCTAACCTGAAGCCTCTAACTTCATCTGCAGAAATGTTTTGTGCCAGGTAAGATGTCTTTTTTTCTTCCAGTACTTCCCAGTTTAAAACTAGGGGTACTTCCTTGGTTAAAACTAATTCTATTAATATTATTCTAGGTGCCTGTAAAGCAGAACTCTTGAGATAGAAGGAGTGTTGTCTGAGGGGGAAAAAAAATCGCGATTAGGAGAGGAGGAACTTGAATGAGATTTACATACCCTCTCTCTTCCAAGGGAGGAGAGAATGTTTGGTGATGCCTGCCCACTCCTTCCTGGGCAGACCCCTTGTAGCATGGAACATTGGAGAATTTGCAGTCTGCTAACTGTTTCTGATTTAGGAGGTTGGTGGGGAGGCCTTTTAATTTGCATTTTTAACAAGTTCTGAGGTGATGCTTCAAATATGTCCAGGCAGAAGGGCTGCCTCACAGTGATTTCTGCCATACCACATGGGAATTGAATTCACAGGTATCTCTAACCCTTGAGCCTGAAACCAAAAGACTCAAAAACAAACACTAAGTGGACAAAGAATATCTCAGAATTTCTGTGGAGACCAGTGACACGAGGACCTACGGTCTCTCTCTTCTCATCTTGGCACTTCAGAAATCTCCCGAGTCTGGATATAGCACTGGGGAAAGGGGTGGGGCCTCCCGTTGATAAGATTGTCACTGCAGATAAATGGAGCTTTCAAATTGAAAGAAAGAAGGAGGGCTTCCCGTTGATAAGATTATTGTCACTGTAGGTAAATGGAGGCTTCAAATAGAAATAAGTTTCAGTTACAGAAAAGAAAATATCTTTGTTTTACACATTTGAGTTTGCAGACCTAATGTTCCTCCTCCTACACTATCATCTGTAACCCTAAGGCACTCAACATTTTAAGCTAACTATAAGGATTTTCACTTCACTCACAGATCCTAAGGTTTTATTCACTAACGTTTTTATTTGGTGACGATAGTTGACAAGAACAAAGCTATGGAGAACAAACAAAACACAGCTGTGGTGCCTGGCATTGCCACCTCACTAGATTGTGAGTTCCTCTGGGACAGGGTCCATACATTTCCTTCTTATCCCTCACTTAGCCATTAGCATGCACAGTGCTTGTATTTAGTAGGTGCTCAATAAATGTTTGTGGAATGAATGCATGATGAACAAAATCTATACTGAGGACTCTGGGGTTGATTCTTGTTGATAATGTAATATTGCTAAGATATTTATGTTATAAATATGTTACAAATATTGTGTCAAAAATATACTTGAGCAGGCTGGGCGCAGTGGCTCATGCTTGTAATCCCAGCACTTTGAGAGGTTGAGGCGGGTGGATCACTTGAGGTCAGGAGTTCGAGACTAGCCTGGCCAACATGGTAAAATCCTACCTCCTCAAAAATTAGCTGGGTGTGGTGATGGGTGCTAGTAATCCCATCTACTTGGGAGGCTGAGGCGGGAGAATCACTTGAACCTGGGAGGCAGAGGTTGCAGTGAGCTGTGATCACGCCATTGTACTCCAGCCTGGGCGACAGAGCAAGACTCCGTCTCAAATAAATAAAGATAATCTAGGCCAGATGTGGTTGCTCATGCCTGTAATCCCAGCACCTTGGGAAGCCAGTTGGGTGGATCACTTGAGGTCAGGAGTTCAAGACCAGCCTGGCCAACATCTGTCTCTACTAAAAATACAAAAATTAGCCCAGCATGGTGCCACATGCCTGTAGTCACAGATACCCAGGAGGCTGAGGAAGGAGAATCGCTTGAACCTGGGAGGTGGAGGTTGCAGTGAGCTGAGATTGCACCACTGCACTCCAGCCTGAGTGACAGAGACTATGTCTTAAAAAAAAAAAATCTAGTTAATCAATATTTCAATATTGAGCATCAAGAATTTTAAAGAATTGGTTGGGCCGGGCGCGGTGGCTCAAGCCTGTAATCCCAGCACTTTGGGAGGCCGAGGCGGGTGGATCACGAGGTCAAGAGATCGAGACCATCCTGGTCAACATGGTGAACCCCGTCTCTACC